ATGAGGTTTTGTGCTAATTCAGCGAGAAAGCCAACATTTTCAGCTTTGCCGAAAAATCATGTTTATTTTGGTTTCTTGTAACGATAGGTTTATGGATATCATGCGATCCGAAGGTGGTACCCGGATGGGTTAATCTATTCGAAAAGTGAGAAAAACACTTCTTTGATAGTCTTTGATGTTTAGGGGGTATGCCTCAGATGCGTTGGCTGGTATAATGATAGCCGTTATTATGTTCGTGTGGCCAAAGCGGAAGCCGAGGTTTATTGACCAAGGGTTCTCAAGGGAGGAATCTTATAGTGAAAACAGTATGTTGCCAAAATTCGTTCAAAAACGTTGTTAAAATTGCAGTTTTGTCGCACGGTACTTTACTTGATTGGTCGATGGTTTCACGGAGGTTTCAATGGTCTATCATTTTATTGCTAGGCGCGGGATTTGCGATAAGCCGAAGCGTAAAAGTAAGTTTGGACAGTTAAAATATAGACGGCGATTTCAATAAGCATACCGAAATTTTAGATGTCAGGTCTAGCAAGTTGGATTGCATGTCAGATCGACAATAATTTAAGCCATTTACCGCTGGTCTGGATGCAGGTAAGCATTTTTAATATGAAAATGATTATATTTTTTCCAGGTTATAATTTCAATACTTGTGGTGACGATGACTGAATTTTCGACGAATACTTCGACAGCCAGTATTTTTATCCCGATTGCCTTCAATGTGGTATCGTTTTTAGTTTTGCTAATTTACAGCCTATTTAGGCTGAAAAAGTGGGCGCCCATCCGCTATACTTTGCTATACCGTGCGCCATTGGACCTTCATTTTCTTTTATGCTTCCAATGGCTACTTCTTCAAATGCCATTGTCTATGAAACGAAAACTATTAGTGTAATGGATATGGTAAGTAATTTAATTTGCTTAACAATAGCTTGTCCATCTCTTAATCTATATATAATTTTTGAGGCATCATGTGGGATCTTCCTCAACATCTTTTGCATTTTCTTCACAGTTCTAAATATGAATACATGGGCGGCATGGATATTTGACCTACACACCTATCCATCCTATGCACCCATCTATGCAGCAAACACCACTAATACCTGTCTATAGTTAATAAAAAGGAATTTATCACCTGAAACACAATATCCAATACGTTCAGCCCAAATATTCGGGAAATACGGCCATTTCGAACAGTTTTCTAACCAAAAAATTCAAAAAATTTTGTCTGTTTCGCCGTTTAAAACGATTTCCATCCTGCCCAAATTGTTCCATTGAATTCGAACGCCGTGACTAAACACTATAACAAAGTACATTCAGTGACGATTCACACCAAAACTTCAGCCTCGAAAGATCAGCGCTCTTCCCTTATCTCAACCATTTCCCCCAAATTTGGCTACCTGCTGAAATCACTGCCGAAGCGCACCCGTCAAAAATGCTGCAGTTTTTTGGTGCTCGCCACTTTGTAGGTTGTACGCATTACTCTTTACTAGGGCTTTTAGATTCTTGTAATTACCACAATGTGCCTAACAATGATCCTATCAAATATGTCTACCTATAATTTTACGAAAATCTGTATTTCCAACGATACTTCGTCCAGCCATCATCGACAGGACTATACAAAACAACAGAAAAAGTATGAATTTTGGGGTGTTGAAGTGTTATTTATGTTTTTAGCCTACTACAGTCTTTTGTTGCCGTGGGGACGTTAGTTGGCGGTGTGCCATATGTCTATTTATTTTCTACATATTCGCATAGATATCTGTTTTTATCAGCGGGTGTTATTTCGGCTGGTGAGTTCTCTAATGATGCCAAAACTTTCAAATATATGTTGATAACTTGAACAATATATTTTATATTACCTCAAAAATTTTAATATTGAATAAAAATGAAGAATTTTAGTCTCGACGGCCCTTATTCCCCTAGCCAATCAAGCTGGTTTTGGCTATTTTCTCACTGCTCGCATAATTCAGGTATCAAAATATAACTTGGATACTAGAAATGTGGTTTTTAGGGTGTTGCCTTTGCTGCTACTTCCCCTTTGATAGGTGCTATGACAGCGATTTGGGCACCATTAGGGTACGGTGTCAAAACAAAGATGTTATTTTTTAGTGAACATGGTCTTTTCCTGGCCTTGTGCACCGGTTTTACACAGTTGAGCAATATTTTCACAATGCCTGTATCTGGTAGCTCGAATCAAAGTAATTATTGAACCTTAGCTTCTAGGTGCATTATGCTCATCAAGTTGGGGCTGGCCAGCCGTTTATTACGTTCACGCAATTGTGGCCGCGGTGTGTTTCACATTGTTTTTCATTTTTTACAGGTAAGCCGATCGGTTTTTTGATCTTAATTTTTTAGAGATCATCCAAATATACATCCATTTGTTCGCCCCGTTGAATTAGAGCGAATTCAAGCTAATAAGAAGAATCAGGCAATAATATTAAGCTTTACCCACAAAAATTTACTCTAGGAAAAAGCTTCAAAAGTCCCATACAAATCTATCATGACCTCAATAGTAATCTGGGGAGTATGGATTGCCGCGTTGGGAGATCTACTCTCCGTCCAGCTAGTAACGATGTTCAATCCACAGTATATGAAAGACTATTTAAAATATGATATATTGAATACAGGTTGGCCAAGAAAACACAAAAAATTTTGACTTTTTTAGGTTTCATGGCAGCATTGCCCGTAATCGTTCAATTTGCAGTAAAATTGATTTCCGGGATCTTGTCCGATTCCTTGGTGTAAGTCTAATTTTTTATGTATTAATTTTTTTAGGTGCCTGTCCGAAACCTTAAAAGTTAAAATATTCAACACCTGCGCATTGGGCGTATCGGGCTTGACGTTTATTTTGCTGGCATTTATCGACAATGCGCATCCGAGTTTAAATATTATAATTTTGGTAGGTATTTAAATTCCATAAACCGTACGGAAATTATTATTTTCTCGTCTTCAGGTATTCACTGAAAGTATGATCGGTTTTAACACAGCTGGTTTTAATAAATGTGCTACCCTCCATTCACGACAATACAGTCATTTTGTAATGACACAGGTGAAATTACCTCATTATCGCCCCAGATTACCCATTTTAGATCATCAACATTTGGGCCCTATGTATCCTCGTAGAACCCTTCATTGTCACCCCAATCCTAGGAGAAGCGGGGTAGTCAAAAACGGGAAAGCTAAAAATTCCCCTTTTAGTTACGACGGGTGGAGGAATGTATTTCTATTGCATTCGGCAATTTTGATCGGGACAAATCTAGTGTTTTGTTTGGTAGCCGATGCAAACCCGGCTCGATGGACTCTGCAACGTGGTGGCGAAGAAGTTAAAGAAGATAAGAGTGAGATGGTTGATAAACCTTTGTGAGTGGATGTTGTGATATGGTGCTTGGAAATGAACATAATGATGTCTGGGTACTAGAGCATCCATATATTCATATAAGTTAACACCTAAAACAAAGATATTTGAAAACTGATTTGTCTATTTTTAATTAAGAGCCTCATGAATCTCTCACTCCCCGAAAAATGCTTTGAGGTGACTTCCCGTTAGCTCAGTCAGAGACCCCCGGACCGAGTGGTGCTCGAGCGGAGGAGCCCTCCCCTCGGCCCTGTCGGTGTGTCGTTGTTTGCTCAGTGCCTCTGGTCCTCCTTTCTCTTCAATCCATCTCTTTCTCTCTCTATCCATCTGTCACTCACTCACTATCTCTTCTTCCATGCACTCGGTCAGCCCTTTTGTAGGGGCGCCCTAGAAGTGCCCGAACGCTAAAAAATCCGAAAGCTCCTGGAACGTTAACTAGCGCAACGAACCGATGGAAATGACGTGACAAATGGCAGAGAGAAATTCAAAAACTGTGATTTGAAGAAATCTGGCCCTCATGCTCGGCCAGGTCACCGGCTGGCTCACCCTAAAATGAATTGTTTGGAAATTGAGGCGGCGGTGTGGAGCCCGGGCTGCCCGAATGAGCCTCGTGTACATCGATCGTGTGTGGGGCTTTTGATCGGCTGTAGTCGGAACGCTTCGAGTTTTTTTGTCGGATTAGGAAAGCAGGGTATGGGTTGTAGCTAGATCGACGTGTCAGCACAGTTAATTTTTAGTTGGAGCTTTGTTTTGTAAACGGACCGGGAAGAATATCCTACTATATATAAAAAAATAGTGTCTGTGTGTGTGTGTGTGTGTGTGTGTGTGTGTGT